GAGGGCGTTTTCGTACACGTTTGGCCAATCAGTGTCTACTTACGTCACGGGTAGTACCAGTTGTGCTGGTTAGACCCTGCTCCGGAGTAGGAGCTAATTGGGTTCTCGAAAAAGGTAGTGCAGTACTAAAATCGCACCTAGTTCCGGCAGTGCGAAAACGCCAAAAAGTGGGTAATTCCACAATTAGTTCTGGTACTATGAAAAGGTTACCCGCGGTGCGAAAGGCCCTTTTATATAATGGAACTGAACTTTATATAACGCTATACTAGTCATTCGCCAACATCTTTGTGAATTATGTACATAAATACTGTTTCTCGTTGAGATTGGAGTTTATCAGACTGTTTCGCTGACCTGTTTGGGCAATTAATTAAAAATATGTTTTATTGTTATTGTGTTTTTATGCCAGTTAGGGCCAAAATATAATTCATCAACACAAAATGCTCACATCTGCATTAAAAATGGTTTTCATTCAAATGCAAGTATCTTCACATTATAAACTTTTTGTTGCGCTATACTCGTCAGTCGCCGCCATCTTTGTGAATTATGTAAATGCTGCTTCTTGCTAAATTTAGGGTTTATCGATCTTAGCATGAAGCTAAAAAAACTAAGCATGAAGGTCAACCCCTAAAAAAAAGACCACTGGAGTATAAAACGAATGACGAATAAAATCGTACAAATTCATAAGGATTCGAAAAATGCAAAATAGTTGCAAATTGCCATGAGATTGTGTTGGTCAATCACTGAACAATTAATTTTAGCTCTATATTTCCGTTCTCTACATTTTCTGGTCAATGTGTAAATAAATTTATTAAATCAAGTTTAAGTGCATTTTCCCGCAAAATCTGCACTCTGTAAATGTCTTAAAATTTCTTTAGAATGTATAATAACAGCCACAGAGGGATAAAAGGGTCAGCTATACTCATTTATAGAAACACTTCAGTTTAACCACCTGCATGATTAATTATTTAAAAGGTACAGAGTTCAAAAGATACTGCAAAACAGGAATGACCCTAAGATGCATGGTATACAGTATAAAGTGTGTAGTATACATTTGTCAAGTTACCAGAATCAAATAGCATAATTCGTTTACTGCATACTCATTATGGGTCTTCATTTACGCCTTCTTAAGCAGTCTTCAGTGCTCGCTCTAGTTGATTAAACCACACTATGATTGAAAATGAGCTGAAATTTGAAGTAATTTTGGGTTCATTTCATAAGCACAAATCAAACCGCCTCTCTTCCCACACACAAACAAACAGACAGAGGGAGTGTCAGCCTGGCTTTGGGAATTTGCTCCGTAAAATCTCAGCTGCCAATCCTCTGATATTGTTACATCAAGTTAAATAAGAAGATTAAAGTTACAAAGGAAAAGCTGTTTAAAAAGAAACCTGAAAGAGTCTAGGGAGTAAATAAAAAACAGAAAGCATTTTTATAAAGCCCTCTGATGAATGTTAGCCAAACAGCGAGCCAGAATCAGAAAGGTAGGAAAATGAGTGCTGGGATCATAAGTTCTCCCTCCTACCTGAAACACGCCTGGGTGTCAGCAGTAGAGTGTGAATATTCCTGGAGGCTGCAGCTGGCCTACATATGCTCAACGCCGTTTGATTTGTCCTCAGCAGTGGTTTTTCCTGACGCTGGAAAATTCCCATTTCCTCTGGACTGATCCAGGTGGTCTCAAGAGCTAAAGTGTTGTTTAGATAAAACTGCAAATGAGAAAACAGAAACCATGTCAGAATGATGAAAAACTATAGCATTCTTTACAGGTTTTGTGAGATTCACACTCCAAAACTAAATATAATCAAATACCATGAATGCTTCCTTTTACCTTGTAGTCAGGCACACGTTTTTCCACCCAGCCCTTGCCGTAGTGTGGAGGCAGGACCGTCCGGTATACATGAGGAAACACTGGAAGTAGATCCACACTTGTAGAAGGTTGGAAACCCAACACATGAGGCCTGGAAGGCATCTCCCACTGGGACAGACAAGCAGAAGAGAAGAACAAATTACCACCGAGATCTATTCCGTTCCATCTCATTAAGAAGAAGTGAAGAACTGAATCAGGCCTGGGTGGGATGGAAAGCTGTCAAAAAAGCATTTTAGTTACAGGGAATGTTTGGGAAAGTTATGGATGTCCTTTTTGGCGTAACACCTGCTGTTCTTCAGCAGTTCCACCAACTGTAACAGGATAAATGATAAATTCCCAACTATCAACACAAAACATTAAATGTTTTTCCTCATAACACGGATGACAGCAGATATTTCTGGAACAGGGAAGGTTTAATTAGTACAGTTTTACATGATGACCACAATCACAGTCATGTCAGTAACCTTTTTGTATCTCATTCAATAACTACAGAGAAACCGCTTGCTAAAGGGGTCCTATTATGCTTTTTCACTTTTGTAATTTTAGTCAGTGTGTAGTGTGTATGTTTGAGCATTAAAAAAAGATCTAGAAAGTTACAAATCTCAAAGTCCACTCCAAAGGGAGATATTTCGTTTAAAAAAAATCCCTTTTCAAGAACTACAACGAACGGCTCGTTTGGACTACAGCGTTTGTTTTCCGGGCTTTGTGATATCACAAAGCGGCCCATTAGAATATCATTAAAAATAATTCCCGCCTTCAGAAATTCGAATGGTTGGGGGGTGGGGAGGGGCGAGGAGGTGGTTAGAACGCTTGGTTGAGTGAGTTAGTGCATCAGAGAAAACCAAGAAGAAGAGCTGCTGTGCTGTAGCTTCAAATTTTCGGCATGTCTAGAACAATTCTTACAAATACAACACGACGTAGCTGGGCGCCGCGGACAGACGCCGAACGGCGCTGCCGGTGTGCCTACACTCATAGAAAATAATGTATTTGAATTTTAAAGATGTGGCACGACGCGACGCTGCGCTTCTCGTCCGGTGCGCGACCGCCTGAAACGCAGTTTTTTTTCACCTCTGTGCCAAAACGTCTTTGTTTGGGCTTCCGAAAGCGGATGATGTCAGGAAACAGTGGTTGCAATTTGTTTTTTAACTCTGTCCCTGAACATTATAACCCCAATTTGCTATTGTGTGCTGCGCATTTTACTGAGGACAGCTTCCACAACATGAGGGAGTACAGTGCCGGATTCGCCAAAAAGCTTTTGTTGAAAGACGGAGCAAGGGGCGTGGCAGTACTGAAACACCATCTAAGCTGTTCGCCAATCACAACGCACTGGGACAGCTAACCAATCACAGCACATTTTGTTTTTCGGAAGGCAGACCTTCATCAAAGCCGGAACTAATCGAGCCGTTTGTGCCAGGATGGGGAGAAAGGTATTTTAATAATAATAGTAAATTATGTGAAAAATAATGCGTTTTTCGAACCACCAAGCATGAGAGCATGTTCTAGTACACCCCCAAAACAAAATCAAGACTTTGTAAAAGAGCATAATCGGACCCCTTTAACGGATCTGTACTGTGAGATGCCGGCTGACTTATTTTATTGGCACCAATGGTTCCATGAGGAAAATTTAACATCCATGAAGCCTTTCCAACCCCCCCCCCCCAAAAAAAGGTTATTTATAGTGCATGGAAAACAATTCTTAAAAGTTCTAAAAGGAATTTTAAAAAGTTCTTCACAATTCACACACACAAAATGTTTGGGAACTTTATTCTTAATAGTGCAAGTCTATCTGTGTTTGGGTTCATTGATTCACCAGTGTAACCATTTTCGCTGCAATGACCATCTTTTATTTTCAAGAATGTAAAAATGTGATGACCTAAAGGCCATGTATTCAAGATTATCTTGATTGTTGGATGTTGTTGTTTTGACTATCCTTTTTAAACCCCATTCCTGATCCAAAACACCTTTCATACAGTACTTTAATATAATATTCAGTATCACATCATATTACAAGAACAAATGGGTTGTGGACATCATTACATGTTGACTTTTAAGCTAGGAAAGTTCTCTGCAGATTACTCTATATCTGTTTCTTATGTGTTCAGCATAACATCCTGTTCTATCACGCTTGGTTCTGCGTCAATGCCTCTCTGCAGTAGCAGTCAATCAAAGGCTTCTGAAGGCTGTCTGCAACTCAAAGTCTCTGTTTAAATAATAAGCTCTTTCCTCCCACTGTCTATGTCTCTCTCTCTCTGGTTCCAGTACAGTGAGACTGAGTTCATACTTGCTGCCTCCTCTGAACGGTACTTTAATGATGTGAAAGCACAAAGTTCTCAATGCCAGGGATGTGGAGCAGTGGTGATCATGCCTCTGCCCAGCACACAGATTAAATGTCACGCTGAGTTTGAGTCGTGAGGGGGAAGCAACTGCAGATGTGAGGATCATCTTGAGCACAGCACCTCTAGAGGAGCTGAAGGGAGGTAATGCATAGAATTTAGATTTTCTGCTTCAACAGTGGCATCAGTTCTCCAAAAAGTGATGTTGATAAAATGTTATCAACATCAGATATTGCCCTGCACATTTCAGTCCTTCCTGGCCATATTATTAGGCATATTCTAGCAGCTGCCAGTCCTTCAAATAAAATTGTTTCAAGATTTAATCAAGACCTTGAATAATTGTATTGGCACCTTGACTTGACTAATTCATTATCACAGCAAGTCAAAATGCTCAGATGAAGAGTACTTTTTGTGTGTGTGTGTGCCAGTGATGTGAACTAAACTTAGTTCTGTGGTTTACAATGTATTTGCATTTACTGCACAAATGGTAGCTGCATATCATTCTAATACACAAAGTACCATAGGATCACTGTCTAATACCTCAAAAAGCTAATATTTTTGACCAAAAAAAAATAGATTAGTTGTAGGCAAAACATTACTCACCACATGCACACTATAATTTGTGGGGTATGACCTCTGACCTTTGGCCAAAAAGAGAACCATTTATGCTGCCTTTTATTGCCTCTCAAGTCGTATTTACAACTGGGAATCTCTGACATAATGTTAATATCCGAATTGGGCGAACCATACACTTTTATTACAATAACTATTGCTCTGGTGACTTAAGTTTTGCAATTTTCCCCACAACATATACATTGATTTTTCTTGCCATTACAGTCATGTATACGTCCTGTATATAAATAACCATTTGATGCATTTTGTTTATATTTTACACAATGAAAACAGCACTTATTTGACCAAAACTTGATGACTAGATGACTATCTAGATGTGAATGTATACAATAGAGTGCGTAATGTTTGTATGTTTGTCAATGAATGGGATGATACTTTTTTTTTCAAAATCCATTGGATATTAAATATGTTTAATACAGTTTGGCTTTAATAAGATTTCCCCAAGAAATTGGCAAAAATGAACCTAGTGTCCCTCCACGATTCCTATTCTCTCCAACAAGAAAGCACTTGAACACGACAAACTCATAATTGCGACTTCAGAAGTGGGAAATAATAAATTTCAGACAGCATTAACAAAAAAAGATAAACATTTAAGTTTTGTGGATTTCAGTATATGTGTGTTTCCTCTGAGATCTTCTAAATGCTCTACAAGTTTTACACATGTAAAAGGTATAGTATTTTCTTTAAAAATTGACCACAACTATGTATGACTCATCTTTTTCAACAGGGTATACATTTTCTTTATTTCTTTAGTTTGTGATACAAACTAAAGGCTTCTGGCTATTTTTAAAAAGTATGAGCCCTTCAGTTTTTTACCCCAGATTCCTGTTTCAATACGAGATCACACGTCATCACATCAACACAGGAAAGAAAATGGCACTTGGGGTGTTTAATGCATCAAGGTGATTTCTTAAAGCCTTTAATGAGAGATCATGCAGTATTTGTTCTTTAGCAATTTCAATACTGACTACTGACATTCGCTTATCCAAATAATAAACAGGGTATTGAGTAATAAGTTGAATAGTACTGTATCTAAACATTATGTTCAGATAAATTCTCTAGTAATTATTCATTTTCTGGACATTTGCAGTCAGAACTTAAATTAAAGGCATAAACTACAGTATGGACACAATCTTATCCTTAAGGACAATTGTAAAGCATTGTAATGGCATTATGTAACTCCGTAGAGATATGTCCTAAAGCCTAACCCTGCAGCACCAGAGAAAAAGTCAAAAACCTTTTTGGTTTGTTTTTTGGACAAAACTTTTCAACAAAGTCATAGTGAAAAGAACCCCCTTGGAGTATGTTTTTCATTTGATTTGGTAGAAGCAAATGTTTCGGATGCATGTGATTTATTAAACATACACTTTCATATTGTCATGCACACCATATCAAATATCTAGATTAAGATTAATAATAGAAGGCATAGTCTTTGAAAAGTAATGATGGTCTCCCAAAACATAGGGGACTGAACTTCGAGTCTATATTCTATAGATTGCTATCTATATTATCATATTCATTATAGTTGCTATATTTATCAGTTCGGTACCTTTACAGAAATAGAGCCTTAATATACACAGTAAGCAAACCAAAAGCAACTGTGGCAACAAGGAGATGAGAAAGAAACCTTTATGAAACAAGACTTGGTCCTTATACATATATTTCAGTACTGGATCATAAATTCATTCATTCATTAATTGCAATAAATAGCTCTTTTAAACTCTATAAAATGTTCAGTAGAGAAAGTGAAGCCCTGTTACCTGAACACTGGGCAGACTGAACTGACTGATGGTCGCAGGTTCCGTGGCGGCAGTGCGCATCACAGGCACGAACGGATCGCAGGACATCTGCCATCCCGAGACCGTCTGGATCACCGGAGGAGGGCGAGAGGCGATGAGCACCGGAGGAGCAGAACCCACCCTACACAGTCCGGAGGTGTTCGGGACCATCCAGAGCCACGGAGGAGCTTCGGCGCTCACGTGCCACAGCTGAGGCTGAGCTTTAACGCGCTGGACCGGGATCATTCCTGCTGCATCCTATATAGCTCGAAAGAAGGATGGATGGAGACTGAAGAAGCTGTCCGTGGAGAAACACTGGGGGGAAAAAAGATAGATAGATAGATAGCACATTTATCCGCACCCCAGCGTCTCCGATTGACAAAAAATAGATGGTTTTATCATACTGGGCCACTGTCCGTACATATTCCGTAATTTATGCATGAATTAATTATTTCAATGCATGGCCAAAACTCAAAGAACCCCATAAGAGTATGTGTAAGCGATATGTGTTCTTTGAGTACAGACGATCCTGCTGTAAACATACAAAACTCATTATGTGAGGGTACTTTGAGAATCAGAATATGAATAAAACATATGCCCGCTGAAACATAATAAACTGGCTCCCCCTCCCAAATTCTGCAGCACATGCATGCGCATGAACTAAAACAGGTGGATGCAACCCATTATCAAAAAAAAACAAAAGCTTTTCTGTGTAACTTAAATGGAAAAGTTATTAGACTTTTGATGAGACTGCCAAAAACAATGAGTTTTTTTATACTGCACTGTCCAAAAGTCTCTGAAAGTTTATGAATATTTTAGCGCATATTACAAAAGCACAAAAACCTATATGCATAAACTATATAACCATAACTCAAACATCACCACAAGACGACTCTTACATTAGCCTGTTTTCTCCACAGACAATCCTAAACATTAAGCTGCTATCACGAGAATCAGAATCTGATAAAAAAAAGCCCATTGAAATATAATAAACAGGCTCCCCTCCCAAAATACTGCAGCACATGCATTGGCTTAAACAGGTGCAAGGCTCTTATCAAGGGCTTTTCTGTGTAACTTAAACGGAAAAGTTAATTTTTTGTGTTTTATTATTTTAAGATACACCAAATATTAGATGCAAACTCACCTATTGTATGAGGGGTTCGAAAAATCCCTTTATTTCAACATAATGTATGTGTCTGTTAGTGTTTCGTTGGAAATAAATAAGTAACGCAAAATACAAATAGATCAATTAAAAATGAAACTGTATCTGCAGACGAAGATTTCTAAGAACATCCGGTAAGGATGGTGTCTAAAGTGTCCAAAGCGCAGAGAATACACTGATCTCCGTGCGTACGTTCACGCGCCGTGGATCGCGCTCTCCATGTGCACGATCACACCGGCGGGTTGTTCATCTCGCTCACAAGAGCTCCGTGGGAATCTCGTGGAAATCTGTTCACTGTCAAGCTGACGATTCTTCAGCCTCCCTCAGTGGTGACTCGTAAAGCATCGCAAAATCATTCCTAATCACATTATAATCCTCTTTTTCTCATTCTTGCTTGTAGAACTTGTGTATGTTCTGTAGAAAATCCTCGTGGATGAACAGATAACTGTGTTCCTGCTCTGTTGAAAGTCCTCCTGGCAGTCCAGACCGGGTGAATTCGCTTTCTGAGCGGATCTGATGGCGCCGTGCGCAGCACAACACAAAGTGCGTCAGGACGCGCAAAGACGCACAACTCGCACTCTGGTGAGCTGGGATGATTAGAATATTGTGACAACTGTTTTAATCTGTAACCAGTGACACGATTTACCTTGTTTAAAACCTACATGGGAGTTTATTTAACCCTCATGTTCTGTTTGGGGACCCCATGTTTTACTGTTGTTGTTGTTTTTCATAAACTTATCTAAAATGGACAAGAGTCAAAAATCTGAAAAGTGCATGACATATAGAGGCTTTAACATTCAAATTAATGATATATATAAAAAATAATAATCTGCCAGTTTGTGATTAGATCAGAACATTGAAATATATAATAATAATCTATTAAAAATTGTTTTTTGAAAAAATTGAAGAAGAAAAAAAACTGACTAAACTTCTGAAATCAAATCATAGTTATTTATTTTAATCTATTCTTACTTCTGTTCATAAAAAGTCTGAACACACGTAGCTTTGTCATCATTACAGCAGTTGTACCAGAGGAAATATCTTAGTCTACATGGGGAGCCTTCCAGTATTGCCTTGGCCAATGGGGGGCCTCCAAGTAAAAGAGCTTTTCTTTTCTTTTTTCCTTATCAATCAATCCTCTATGGGGACTTTGAAGCACAAGTCATCATATTTTTCTTATACCACCAGGGGGGATGTTTGGACAGCCATATAGAGGGAAATTGAGGTTATCCAAAGTTTTTTCTCTCTCTCTCCCTCTTGCCCACAACTGGGTGTCTCCTGGTGAGTGGATCAACCATCCGGTGAATGTCATAAAACGCTGTGTGCAAACAAAAATTATACTAAGTGGAACCTGAAAACATTGTAGCTGTTGTTGAAGATAGACTACAAACTGTATATCAAGCATTTGCTTCAGTATATACTGATGGATCTAAAGATCCTAATACAGGGAGAACAGGTTTTGCATTCAGTATTCCATCCTTAAACATTGTTGTTAATAGGAGAACATCAGATAATTTATCAGTATACACAGTAGAGATGATGGCAATAGCAACAGCACTACAGTGGATAGAGGAGACTCAAATCAAAAAGGTTATACTTTATACAGATTCATGTTCAGCATTAAAGTCATTGCAATCATTCACATCTCATAGTAGACAGGATATAGTAAATGAGATATATGAAAATCTGTATAGATTTAAGAATATGGACATCATGATAATATTTATGTGGATACCAGCTCATAGGGGGATAAAGGGTAATGAAAAGGTTGATGGATTAGCAAAACAGGCATTGGAAAACGAGGAGATCATGATTATTTCACTTAGTAATATGAAGCAAAAGCAGTAATTAAAAGCATACACCACTAAGGAGTGGCAACATAAATGAGATACAGGAAATACAGGACGTCCACTTTATGAAATACAGCGAGAAGTAGGAGTAGTGAGAATAACTAAAAGAAGCACCAAAGAGGAAAATATTCTAACAAGATTAAGGGTTGGGCATACTATGCTGAATAAAACCTTAAAAATAATAAATAAACATCCAACAGGATTATGTGAGCACTGTGGAATGGAGGAATCAGTAGAACATGTTATTTGTGTTTGTCAAAAGTATACTAATGAACGACAAACAATGAAGAATGAACTTAGAAAGATGGGAGTGGATAACCTAAAGCTTAAAAATACATTTACTTATGGACTAGAGAGTTTATTTTTTTAATTTAAGAGAACAGAGCTAATTAAGAGAATTTAGAGGGAAAATTTGTATTGGGGTAAATAAGTTTTTTTATTTTTTTATTTTTTTTGGCTTTTCTTTCTCGTCCTCTCATTATGAAAGTGTAAACCCTGGTCCACACTCCAATACAGTAGGTGGCGATAATGCACCTTAACATTGGTACTACCCGCCATAAAACCGAAGAAGAAGAAGAACTTGTGGCGTTTTGTGTGTTTAATCTACTTTTTTCAGGTAAAGGTTAATTATCTGTTAATATTGTTCTATGCTGTTTAATAGGATGTAGATGTAATTATGTTGATTACAGTAAGTGTTGTTCGTGATGTTTAAAAGCATAAATATTTCAGAGATTATTGAGCTCAGAGCTGCATTTGGAGCATTAATGGCGCGAGGCCCACATGTTGAATATTTAGTGTTTGGTATTTGGCATATATGTTTCTATTTCATGTTTAAATCTGTTTATTTAATGTTAATTATTTGACTGACTGGTAGATAGCAAATAGTAAGAAATGGACGTGGAATAAAGGAATTATAAAGAAAATTGAATATACATGCATTTTCCAGATAAAGATCATTACTTGAAATGAAGTATTTTCAGGTTTAGAATCCTTTTGTACTAGTTTATATGCACTGTTTTAAAAAGTTTGTTTAAATTTAATTGTGAATGCCTCAACATACCCATTATTTAATTTGTGTATCTTTGATTACAAATTATTACTAAGTGTATGTACATCATTACTAGTATGTCCCAAACTATTGCAATATGTGTGCATATAAGAAAGGATGTCAATGCTGTTTTGAAAGGTTCTTTATTGTCAGTTGTATAACAAAGAGGAGATTCTACATGAAGTTCATGGTGGGGAAACCTTGTGGTTTAATTTTCTCCACCCTTTTTCAGGGGGACAACAATATCAGCAAAAAAGTTTTAGATAGGCCTAGATCCTGATTAAATTTACACTGCTATTCAGAAATGTTTCTTATGTCTCTTATGCTCACTAAATTAGGCTGCATTTATTTGTTTAAAAATGCAGTAAAAACTAGAGGTCGACCGATAGTGGATTTTGCCGATACCGATAGCTAGGTTGGACCACACTGGCCGATACCGATTCATTAACCGATAGTTTTTAAAATGGATACTGAACAAAAACTAAAATAATGCTTTATTAAAAAGACAGTACTGAACCATACTACTAGTAGTAATAATAATCAAAATGTTGAAATTAACACACTCTAACAAGGAACAATACTTTCATTACACAGCTTTCATTAATCTTAATGTTACAAATGGACTCTTATTTTAAAGTGTTACCATTTCATTTCAACAGTCATGCTTAAATATGCACATCTTTAAATATATACGCAAAGGCCATAGCATTAAAATTATGATGAAAAAACTTGATGGTTATCTAATCAAAATAAAAGTACAGGGCTGAGTCTAGGACAACGCACCGGTATCACAAACACTCCGGACGTGTCGCGTTCAACTCGAGCAGTGGTCTAAAACAGTTTATTTAATCACCAAATGGACACAAGTTTATTTCAAGAATGAACGAACAATGAGTCATAGATGAGTTTGAAGTTCGGTGTTTAAAAAACAGAGCAAACGGAAAGAGAACCAGCGATCTATATTATAGCTCTATAAATGAAGCATTAACAACAATTCGGGACAAATATAATGTAAATTAATGGAAAACTATGTGAATGGCGCTCTGTGGCACGGCAGGATTTTCTGTCGGCTGCATTTAAATCCACGTCTGAAGCTCTGTTCAGTGATTTCAACCACTAGAGGCCGCTCTCGTACTGTATAATGACAGCAGACCCTTCTCAGCCGTTCCAGCAACGGACGCAACCCGGAAAACTATCGGCATGGATTTTTGCCGATAACCGATTGTTCCAGCGAAAAACTATCGGTGCCGATTAATCGGCAAAACCGATACATCGGTCGACCTCTAGTAAAAACGGTAATATTGTGAAATATTAAAATTTTAAAATAGGTGTTTTCTGTTTGAATATATTCTAAAATACAATTTATTCATGTGATGAAAAGTTGTGACTTGACATTGAGGGAAGCCTTAGGCCAAGACTTCTTAATTTTCTCCAACAAAAATCTTGATTTTCATAGCTGTGTGATCTCACACCTCAGGCTCTCCAGCAGTTCTGTTTCATGTCCTTTTAAAAATGGATCTCTGCTCATAATTAGGGACTGTTGCCCCTTCCATTCGTCCTCCTAGATTGGTTTGAGAAAATAGCTGGATACCCGCTGCTGTCCGTGGCATAGAATATGGCCCTGCCAGTGCTGTGGCGATAGAGATTAGTTGACTGGGGCTGTTCTGTTGTGATATTCCAGTTTTGGGGTCTGCCGTAGGAGTTGTTTGGATCATCCGCTGCTATTTCTCTGAAGGGAAAATCTGGATGCAGAAATGAAATTTCCCAACCATTTCTGATTGGTTAAAACCTTACCCTCAATCACACAGTGTGTCTAATGCCTGAGGCCGGTCTTACTTTAGATTCTGTGAGCGTGAGGAAAGCATGTCAGAATATTTTGAGCATTACAATAATATTAGATACAATAAGTCAGGTGCCACAATCACCACCTTGGTTACCTGAGCAACAGCAGAGGCTGATAACAAAATTATGGACGCATGGACATTCATTTATATTTTAATAGTATTAAAAAAAGGAGACACGATCCATTGTAAATGGTGTCTTACCCAGAGGAATTGGCTTAGCAAGGGCCCGCAAGACTATTGAAACATATTTCCTTGACATTGAACGGCTTTGGGCTATTTCTTTCAGAGAAACATGAATGCTAATGCCCTCACAGCTGGACAAATGATTGTGCTAAGACAGAACACATGGTGAGGTTAATTACAGGGTCAATCTGGTGTATTTATGGACTGGCCTGGACACAATTACATACTCTTGAATAATTTAAGATTATTTAATGCACAGTGGAACTTATTCATGAGAATGCTTATGTGTTTAGTGCACTTTAACAAAATGACACAAACAACTCTTGCTACTGATTACACACACACAAAGATAAAATATGTAAAAGTGTATGGTTTCCGCACCATCAACCATTGGAATTGGAAAAATTACTCTTTTCAGACAGGATTCCCAATACTTCTCCCATATGTCATTGGTCAGACCAAGAAAAAAAATCTGAGTTAAACAG